AAAAAAAAAAAAAAAAAAAAAAAAAAAAATGCGTTACTGTGTGTAAGAGTGTAAGACAACAGTAATGATGAATATCTCTCGCAATCAGGATTAAGAGCTCTTTTGCACAGTTTTATTTGTAACAGTTAACGTTATGTCTGAAGTTATCACGAAAAAAAAATGACGGTGAATTTATGTAAAGAAACTTATTTTGTAGATCATAGCCTGTCAGCCCAATGTTCAAGTGGTTCATGAAGAATGGGGAATCTTCTGAGTAATCAAAATTGAACCTTTTAAATCCAATCAATCCCTTTGCTCTACAAAACTCTTAAAGCAGACGAGTCTGTCAAAACCACAAGCAGACGATAGCGATTTCCTTCCTCCTTTCCGAGTGAGATCTCGCTGATCACGAGATCCAATATGGCAGCTTTGTGATGTGTACGTGTTTTACGGTGGGTAAAAAATATTTTAAATCTAAATTTCCACACTACTGCCAAACAGATGACATCCTAATCAGAAAATTAAAAATGTGACATGTAAATGCAAGGCTAAATACATATTGCAATCGCATGAGCTGTGTATGTTTAAAGCAGGGATCAAGTTTGTTTAGTTTGGTCAGCTGGCTGCTCGTCGTAATAGACGTAATACGCTCACACTCACAGTCCAATATTGATGCTCATATACTTACGAAATAATATCTGCTGTTTTATATAATTGCACCAAAAGCTATATACAGTTTAAAGTCTATACATCTAAAAGGCGAAACCAGGTCATTTCAAGCAAACAGTTTTTGTACTGTTGTGGTTGTGCTTTACCATTATATTGCCAGTGCAACATATGATAACTAATGTTTTATTACATTTTAACTCTAGATTATGCAGCCTTCCCCACTGCCCAAAACCCTGTGGTAAAACGGCAAAGATATGATGCCGTGATACCACCTCAGCTGAGAGACAAATCTAGATTTTACATCGAAGATAATTAATACTTATGTTACATGTACGTAAAAAGATGGTCCCTCACATCCTTCCGAACTGCTCTACGACAATACCCAACAAGTCGGGTGATGACTCAGGCAGAGAATTGACCTCTCCACGCCATAGGAGAGGATCTGGAGAGCCTGGAGACAAATATGTCCATCAAAAACACAATGGCTCACATGCTATTCTCGACAATACTATTGAAACGCTGAGGACAGCTTCTGGAAATTCATTAAGTAATGGCAGTGCACCGCTAGAGGAGGAAGAAATTGTAAGTGACACAGAACCCCTGCTGCAGCAACAACACAGAGAAGCAAGTAGGAAGCTAGAGGGAGATTTTGATGATGGGCCAGAGTTTGATTTTCGTTCTCCTCCCCCTGAGACGGAAGAGACAGCTCTGACAATTGCTCTGCAGGTGTTTGTTCCTTACCTCATAGCTGGATTTGGAACTGTAGGAGCAGGCCTAGTGTTAGATGTTGTGCAGGTAAGACTACAAAAGTTTTGTTTTTAGTCAATTGGCTGGCTGTTTAATGGGGGGGGGGTGGGGGTGGGGGGTGAAGGATTGTACTCACAGACTTATTTTTTAAGAGTAACTAATTGACAAAGAGTTTTAAATAGAGTGTTTTTTTGTATTCTGGTAAAAATTTGTAATGAAAGTGTAGTAGACATTTTTAGCTAGTACGTGCATCTTGTGCACAAGGCTGTCTACTCATTCAATTACCAGTACCTGTAGCACAAGCAGCATATGTTCTGTACAAATTTATGATAAATATCATTATACCAGCATAATTCATACTAATTCGCATAATGTTTCTAAATATTTCATATTTCTTTTTCCTGGTTTTAGCACTAGTACAGTCATCAGTCAGTAAATCATAATGGCATTTTAACCTCTCTAATTGTTATTGTTGTGTTTAATCAAACCTGATTTTAAAAAGCTCTTTTTAATGAGATTGGTTGATATTGGTTGATTTTTTTCTGCTGACCCAGTTTTAACTGCAAAACTTGGTCATAGTGTGTCTATCAATACTGTTTAATGCTTTCACAGCACAATTAATTTTATGTAAGTGCTTTCAATAATTCTGTAAATAGTTGATATTATAATTATAATCATTTGTCTTTAAGCATTGGGAAGTGTTTGCCAAGGTCTCAGAGGTGTTTATACTAGTCCCAGCTTTATTAGGACTGAAGGGAAACCTGGAAATGACTCTGGCATCACGGCTCTCCACACAGGTAAGTGGAGGGGCCAGTTGCACAAAAAACCTTAAAAAGCCTGAAAGTTGGTCTGAACTTTAAGACAAAAGCTCTTAGGCTGTGTTCGCATGAAAAATCTATTTTCTAAAAATCTATTTGCGGTATCTTGTGATCACGGTCTGTGCCCTGAATACCCCGCGGCGTAATTACTGGCAGCGTTGAGAATTAATTACAGCTTTGGAAATAACTGGGTCGCGCTGCCCCTAATTACGCCGAGGGGTATTCAGGGCACAGACTGTGATCACAAAATACCGCAATTAGATTTTTGGATTTTTAGAAAATAGATTTTTCATGTGAATGCAGCCTTAGTCTTCTTTGACCAAAGATAAATCAGTTGTAGACTCGAAGTTGGTCTTAACTTAAGGAACAGAATTTTTAGTCCATTTTGCCATAGGATAAATCAGCAGAAGTCCCCTTGAATGAAGTATCATAATTGTGCTTGTTTTAACTTTTATTATACATGGAAAAAGAAAGCTAATGTTTGAGGTCAATACATATAATTGTATTTTAGAGGACTAATTTTACATTTATCATGAATTGAAATTATAGTTAGTCTAAATCTTGTGTCTTAAATTCAAGACCAACTTATCCTTTGTAAAACTGATCACAGATGTGGTGACAGCTGTGGAGGTTTTGCCAGTTATTTGAGACATAGTTCAAAACATAAACAGTTCAGATGAGTCATTTGTTTGAGAGAAATTTTGAATTAATAATTTACTTGTTAAATGTTTTGATTTCATGACAGACAGTCAAGCTGAGTTGATTTTGATTGCTGCCAGTCCTGGAGGCATATTGTCAGTCCGTGAATTAAAAGATCTGACAGTTTTTCCATGTGTAAAAGTTCAGTGGGTTAAACTGCTGGATGTGGCAATAAAAAAATTAGAATTTCAACTTTCTAACATACCAACATTTTTATGAAGAAATTTTATTATTTTTACAAATATCTTTTAACAAATATATTTTCACTGATATATTTTGCCTTAAACATACATTTTTTAGTATGAATGCATTGCGCACAGAGGAAAGATGCATAACTAATTGCAATGGTCATTTGTTCTGTTTCGCCAGTAATTATATGTTTATATAGATCTGTAAATGTAAATTGTAAAAGTGATTGGTTTTATTGCTATTTTCTAAGCTGTCAGTAGAATTGTGAATTTCAACAGGTTGTTCTCTATTTTAGGCCAATCTGGGGAACATGGACAAAGCATCAGAACAGTGGAAAATGATAGGAGGGAATTTAGCACTGACGCAGGTTGATATCAGAATAATTGTATTTCACAAAAGGTTGTCTGATATGTCAAATAGTGTATTGTCCTACTTAAAGACTTGTTTGCATTAAGAATTGAACTGTAGCTCTGAATTCTTCATGAACATTTGTTTGATTTTTAGCATTCATGACTGCCATGTGGTAGTCTGTGTTCAGTGATTTTGCAAAAGTTTGCTCACATAGATTACGGGAATGATGAATATGTTGTACTTCTTATAATTATAAAACTCATGGAATTTTCGTGTCTGTTCCACCTATCACAATTACTTTTTAAAAATGCATACAGTTTGCGACTACTACATGCATTGCTATCAAAATATTGGTATTATTATTTGTTAGTTTACTATCATATGGTCCTATTTCTCCTTCCAGGCTCAGGCAATCATTGTTGGGTTTCTTGCTGCCATAGCTGCTATGGTGATGGGATGGATACCTGAGGGCAAGTTTAGTCTGTCCCATGCCCTGTTATTGTCTGCAAGCAGTGCCTTGACAGCATCTTTGGCTAGTCTAGTCTTAGGTTGGTTTAGCATATTGTAGAATATAGTTACTGTATTATTGTGCCACTAGTTTCGGCAATATGTGTTGTTACCCTTTTGATGGGTCACACCCGGCTGGTGGTACATGTACATACCCAGTAGGTAGAGACCCCTCTTTGATCCTCTATCATCTTGAATGTGCATTTGTTTCCACAATCTGGTGAAAATTAACAGCTTTGATGAATAAGAATATTGGTGTTTAAAGCAATAATAACTCTTCCTTTGAGATTCAAAAATCCGCAAGAAATACATTGTAAACAACGCATGGAAATATATTCTATTGCATTTTACCACTAAAACGGCCGTTATTGTAGTAAAACTAAAATCTGTGCTTGTCAGTAGGGCTTTCGATGCTTTTCTTCCCGGTCGTCAAGGCATTCGTTGCCAATGCCGTTTGGGTGTCATGCAGATTCTCGCGTTCATTCGAGACCAAAATAACATTTGGCGCCAAACGCTGGTGCAGTCCGCAGACTAAGTTGCGAGTTTTTGTACAGTGCGTCGGATAACGAACAGCCCATGATGGCACACATTGTGGATATAAATGCATTTTTAACAAAAAGACGAATATATCTTATGAATCTTATATTATTGTTATATAGTGTTGTTGTTGTCTGCTTTTCCCGTGGTTTTAAGTAGGTCACCAGTGACTATGCAATGTCAGAGAGAGCTCCGTCAGTTAAAATCTCTTAAGAGATTTTAACAAAAAACTGTACGTTTAGGAAAAAAACCCTGGATTAACTTTGAATGCAGGAATGGGGTCGTTGACCTTTGGTAAGTACGGGAAAATTGCCGTTTTTTCCAGGAAAATCCAATTTTTGGCCAAAACGAAGAATTATTATGACTTTAATGGTAAATTTGTACTCATCATCATCATAATCATCCGAATTTATTTTTTACTGGCCGGGATTAATCCTCAACAGAGGGTGGGACCAGTCTGACACGCAGTCTTCCTCTCCAACTTGATCTATCTGTACTATGAAACTTATTGAATATGACTTCAAATAAAAGAGACTACCTTTAACAATGCTCACTGAGTAGTCAGTGACATTGAATTCATTACCTTTTATTCTCTAAATTGAGTGAATTGATTTGATTATATGCTGAGGTATTTTAGTGACATACTTTGAAAAAATATCATGGATCATTTTGTCATACTCTAAGTCTTCTTTCTTCAAAGGCGAATGCAATGCATATAACATCTTGTTTAAAGATTTTAAAAACAATGTGTATACCTTTAAAAGATATACCTCTTAGTTTATACTTACTGGCATGTCCCTATTGTTTAATTGTTGTGTCATTTGTTTTCTTTTTAGGAATAGTAATGATAGGTGTAGTAATGCTGTCTAGAAAATGTGGGATTAACCCAGACAACGTGGCCACACCCATAGCTGCCAGTCTAGGGGACTTGACCACCCTGACTTTCCTGGCTTCTATTAGTATGGTGCTGTTTAAAGCCATTGGTAAGTGAGGGTGTGACCACACTCATGACTATCAATCTAAGGGGAGTTGACCATACTCTCTTTCCTGGCTTCTGTTAGTATGGTGTTGTTTAAAGCCACAAGAAGTCTTGTGAATTTTTTATTGCTTTGTTTATGGTCATGACTCCTCTCTTGCATTTGTACATAAGATTTTTGTCAGTTTTTATTCTTACAGTTATCACCTTATTAGTACTATTTAGAAGCATGTTGCTTTTGTCAGAAAGTTGTTTGCAACATTTTACACTAGGAAAAAGTTAATATGTTACACATAAGCCCAATCTCTTACTTTATAGTTTTGTCTTTTTCATACATTGTAATAATACATGTGCATAATTCTTGTTTACCTAGGTCATAATCAAGTTTTGATATTAATATCATATTGATGTGCAGATAAACAGATAAATAAATTGCTGAGTCAATAGCTGAGTGTTATTCCTCAGGTCAGCAGGTGTGGCTGTCCCCCTTGGTGGTCAGTCTGTGTCTGGTGGTCACTCCAGTGTGGCTGGTGGTAGCCTACAGGAACAAGTATACTCATGAAGTGGTCTACACTGGCTGGACTCCTATTATATGTGCCATGGTCATCAGCAGGTGAGTGTTTCAATGGGGGTGGGGTGGTGGTGGTGGGGGGGGGGGGCTCTCTCCAAGAGTCTTAAGGTAGTTTTCATACTGGTAGAAAACACTGAATAAGTATTACAGTAATGACTCGATCTTTTTAATGGGCAAATATTATCAAACTTTTAGATACATAATTTTATAATCACAAAAATTAGGCTTCTGTATAGGATTTGTGGTGCTTTTACTGCTTAGAATAGAACTATAGAGTAGCCTGCTTTTTAATTTTGTTGGTACCACTCGTTTGGAATGTTCTAATTATAAGAAATTATGACTTAAAAGTATAGTATCTGTTAAATTCACAGTTTTCCCCATTGAAAAGATCAAGTAATTACTGTAAGTGAGTCTTTTTAATTTCCAGTACTTAGCTAGGTAGAAGTCTCTTGAGGTTGGGATACTATACATTCTACCCCCTTTCCCCTCTCTTTTCTTACTTGATTCCACTTGCATATTTCCCTTGGGCAATGAGTGTTTTATCATTTAAGCAAACGAGCAAAATCAGAAGCTTAAAAATATGGTTGATTAAAGAAAATGAGTGATGAATTCCGTGTATGTTGGGGACTTTCTGAGAAGGGGAAGATGTTAGGCTGTGTACTTGATTGGATTCTGATCATGTACATAGATTTATGTAATTTTCATCAGAGGGAGCGTTGCAAATCCAAATAAATCTCTTTAGTTTCAAGCTTATTGCAGCATGTTAGGTAATGTGAAGATTTAATATATATGTTAATAGTCAACTATGAGCCTAGGCACCCCCTGGCATTCCTCTCTCAGAATTCATGCCCAAGTTTTTTTTTCTGTTGAAAGTGTTTTTTTTTTCATGAATTTTTTAAGGCTCCTCATTTTTCTTTTAGCTTTTCAAATAGTGGATTAATAGAGATATTAATGTAGGTGTAATAATGATTCAGTCATTAGTGAATTGGGTACAAAACAAATGATTAAATAAATGATTTAAATTGCTTTGTTTTTAGTGCAGAAGGGAAATTTGCAATAAAAGTATTGGCATTATCTAGTTAAGAAAAGACCTTGAGTAGCAAAAATAAACTGGCATTAGATATAAATGTACAGCAATCAGTCTGATGGAATTTTGAGATAATCTATTTTTTACCACTTGTCCTCTTTTAAAATAGCCATTTTGTTAGAAATGTGAGACACCCATTTGATATCAGTCAGACAAAGGAAATTCACATCATTGCAGATATGTTTAATCACTATGGTGGAATTAAACACAGGACTTTTTTTGTACCACTTGTCATTGAAAAGGAGTATCTGCAGACTTATTAAACACAAAGCCCAAATGATTTCCTGGAATCTTGGATCAATTTAAATTTGCCTTTTCGATGAATTCCACTATAAAAGTACATCCTTCTATGCAATCATTGTGTAATAGCTGTTCATCATTTTCAAGGAGACAAATAACACCATTACATGGAATAAGATCAAGTCATTTAATTTCTTTATGGTAGATTGTCTCTCGGGTATTGGTTTTTTTCTTTTCTTTTTTTTTCGCTGGATTATGAGATTGTGATTTCAGTTCCATATAGTGCGATGCAATTAGCTGTGACAACCAATTTTTTAAATTATCAGAAAATTGAAGGAAATTTGGTGAGCCCACTTTGACTCATCATGTTAATTGCTCCATGAAAGTGACTTGGTTTGATTTTCCTGTCTTTTTTATCAATCACGTGTGAAATATTACACCATTTTCAGTGGAAAAACCATTTTATGCATGTAACTCGGAGATTGTTCTGTTACTTATTATGGTCTCTTTGATAGGCCAATCATTCAACAGTTTAAACCAAACGAACTCCTCGATGATAGATGGTGATTTTGATTGCACTGAAAGCTGTTTACTTGGTCAAACCACCAGACAGTGACGCAGCTGTACGTTAACATGTCACTGTATGTAGATCTATTCATAAATTGATATCTGTCACAACAGAAAGCAAAAGAAAAAGAAATAAAAGAAGAAATTGATTTCAGGAAATCAACCTTTTTTTTATAGAAAACAAACTTCTCAGTTTTCATCAATAGGTCAGGTATCTTTGAACAACATTAAATAAAGATGGAAAAGAATGATAACCAGAGTTGTGATATTCTTAGAACTGAAGGCGCAGTAGGTGTATGCAGGACGCATGTTATAGATAGCTAGATAAGTGGTGGGAGAGTACTTGTACATGATTTGAATCTCAGACTCTAAGCTTTTGCGGGTGAAAGATCTATATAAAGACCAGGTATTGAAACCAAAAATGAATGAATTATTGAATGAAATAAAATCAAATCATAAAAAAAAAAAAAATAATTAAATAAATAATTTATGATTTTCTTAGAAATTTCAGCTATTTTCTTCTTTATCTTCAAAGTATACCCTATCCAAACTGTAGCAGAAATTACAATCTATGAACCAAATTTTGAGCACTTATTTTCTTATATTTAAAGCAACGAGTGACATTCTCCAGTTTCCTTTACTTTAAAAACTTAAAATTGAAAAATAACAAAAATTGTTTATTGTATATAATTTTGTAAACAGTTTTGGATAGCTGTTAGGGTAATCTTTAGTGTTCGAGAGAATAGTGTTGAAAGTTCCAGGAAATTCCATTTTTGCTAGATGGTCCAAGGGTCATGCATGTGGGTCAATAGGGATACATCTACTTTTTTGCTGAGACATGGTGATTGTAAAAATGAAACAAAAGCTTGGAAATAAAAGAAGATAAAGCATATCTATCCGTGCTATTGCTTCCTTGTTTATTTTTAGTGGAGGTATGTTCACATAGTTTAAAGCCAGCGATTGAAAATTGGGAGATTTTAAGAATTTTAATGAAGTTATTTTTCCTTCACCAATGATTAAAAACAATTGATCTATAATTTATTCTGTGTCTGCACAAACCTACTTATGACTGAAGGAAGGAAGAAATTCGTTGAGATAATGGTTGCACCACTCTTATTTATTTTCATGTATAACCCAAACCAAATCATTTGGAACCCTGTAAACTGGAGTTATATAATATCATCTCTGCTTTAAATAATAGGTCATTTGTTTTTGATTAGAAACTTCCTGTTCCTCATCCACTTTGACTAATAACTTGATTTGCTGTGCTGCCCAACAGTGTTTGCCCATTATACTTATTGTTTTGATTATAAAATCAATAACAGGATCTTTCGTCACGAGTAATTAATTTACTTTGGGGCTCTGGTATATTACTATAAAACAAAGAAATGATGAATAACATACGTACTCAAGATTACCATTTCATCTTTCTAATTAGACTAGAGAATTTGAGCTACTTTTATCACATTTTTTTTTATTATTAATTGTTGTAATTTGTCTCAGTAATACTGACAAGGCATTAATAAAATATTCAAAATACAATAAACTATAATAATAAAAATAACAATAATAATAATAATAATACAAACCTGCATGCTTTATATTGTAAATTAATGTTATACCTCTATACACTAGTTTTTAATAAAACATTTTTACCTGATACTGATAGATACCTATTTAAGTACCACTGGTTGATTTTTGGATAAATATTGTGTGTATCTTATACTTTTTAATGTTTGCATGTTTTAATATAATATTGATATATTTTCTTTTTATGTGTGTTTCAGTGTGGGAGGGCTGGTGTTGGATTTTGCTGTGTCAAATTTCCACGGAATTGCTGTGTTCCAACCTGTGATAAACGGTAATTAAGTGTTTCCGTCAATAAATATGCACATATTTGTTTAGATGTTTTATTTCTTTTATAAAAGCTGTCTACAGTGTGTTGAAATAATCCTTTAGGAAACATTTTCTCTCAAGGGCCTGTTTCACAACCAGAAGTTGGTTTTATCTTGAAGAATAAACTTTACTTCATTTTGGCCTAGGATAAAACAGAAGTAGTCCACCTAATTGAGCATAAAACTTTTTCATTAAAAAAAATGAATAAACAAATAAAGGCACTGCCGTAGTATTTGCTTGCAGCTTCTCTTCCATCTGTACTTCGCCATATCTTATTTTGACATTTTGCAACTTGTTAAGTCATTTGAGACATTCAGTCAAGCATGTACAGGTTATCAAGCTTAAAACATTGTCTGACAAACACACCCACATGCAGAGAACCCCATTATCCGTAAGGCCCCATTTCCATAGACAACATAGATCTATGTAGATCGATCAAACTCTGCCTTAACTCTTTCTCTGTGCATCCAGTTTAACTGAATGACATGCCTCCTCTTGTTTCTAATCTACTCCAGGACCTATCTTCACCAGCTTTTCTGTATTCTACTCAACACCAGGAGGTGACGTGCCATTCAATTAAACTGATTGCATTCAGCAAGAGTTTTTGCAGAGTTGGATCGTTCTATGTAGATCAATGGTTACTATGGGAATGGGGTCCAAGATGTCATTTTACTCAGTCGCCAGATTTAATAAATGATACCCCATGGAAAACATTACTGTGATGCCCACAGTCATTGATTTGTCAAAAGTCATTCAAATAAACAACAACAAGATTTAACGTCATCTGTGGAATGAATATATACCTTGGAGATATTGTGAAGCCTAAATGCTAACTATTGAAAATAAGACATTTCCTCATTGTTTTGGTTTTGTGTCCTTGACATGAAAATGTGTAGTTTTTAGACTAAATGAAGGCTTTTGTTCCTCACTGTTCATGGTTCCTTTTTTTCAGAAAATCATTTGTTTGATGAAAGAGAGTATTTTATGGTCAAAACTTTAAAGAGATCATAACAACTCTTTATGAGATTCGTATTTTGCAATCAGTCCCTTTTAGCTGATTTTCAAATTTGTCCGACCTAAGACTACTTGCAGTGAACTAATTTTGGCATAACTGTGTACATTAATGTACCATTGATAAGCCAACTGATTTTAGACACCAAATAAAAGTTTTCACACATTTTGTGATAAATGGAGCTAAGAGCAAAGATGATGGTAGAGAGAAGGAAGTCTATGTATGGTGAAACAGTGGGTTCATAAAGAGTTTAAAGACCTTGGCAGTTCCGTACTTTGGTCCTGTTGTGTTACATATGGATTCTTAGTGATGAATGAGGTCTCTAATCAGTGATCAGAGAATCAATTCAGCGGATATTGAACCAAAAAGAAATCTGTGACAGGGGTCAGTGGATGCACTCACAGCCATGTATTGCTGCCGGAATAGAGAAAAGGTGATTAATATCGTGACCAACGTCAAAGGAAAAAATGGAATTGTTTTTTGTCATCATCCATAACTTCTTTGGCCTATCATTTGTCAGGGATAGGTTTTTGAGTGGAAGGATTTATATTTTGGGACTGTGATCTATTTCCAATGATGGTTATTGTTTATAGAAAATAGGATGAAAAAGCATGCCACTGTATTTAGGGTCTTGACATTGCGTGATATCTTTGATGAGAATTTGCTTCGACTTGATATATGGTTTCAGGAAAATGAAACTTTTGTCACTTATCTCAGAATTGATGAAAATCAGGCATGCAAATGGGTATCAGTTACTAATTCAGTAGCCTGTTTATTGCAATTGGCAATTTGTTGGAATGGTGTACACAATAAGCCAGAGAAGAAAAGAATTTATTCAGACATTGATCTGACCAATTTTCTGTCAGGTTTTCTGTAGTCATTACACCAAGAGGAACGGTAACATGTATTTTAACTAAAAATTACTTTTATCCCCCCCCCCCCCCCCCCCAAAGAAAAAATGCTACTTTCAGTGGCAAATTATCATCATGGTGGGAGAAAATGTCAGACTGGCTGTCTGCAGCAGTGAATTATTTTGATAAAATCAAAGGCAAACTGAACAGAGATCAAATACGTATGTGGAGAATTATCATTTAAGCAAGCTTGAAGTAAGGTTGATCTGAGTCTCATCTTTATCCATTTGTTTTTGATCTTTTGAAATAAGGAATGTGTTTTTTAAATGAAAAACTCTCATGTCTGTGGGGTCATTGTCAGATTGGTAGAAAGCTGTAATTTCTATTATAAAGCAGTCTGTATATAAATACAAAGGGTTTCATTTTTAATCAAATATAAAAATGTTTAATATAATTATGTACCTCTATAATATTGAATGGAAGGACCTGGCTTGAATTATGGGAAATTTACCAACTTTTTGTAGAAAAATGAAGCAAAGTTCTATTGGCTATTTATTAATATCAAAGATTTAATTTGTTCAGTCTTCTTTATAATTCATATCAAAATCAATTTAAAGAAGACGTGCATTAATTAATTTGGAAAATTCGCTGGGAAGGGCTGATGTCTATCCATATTTGGTAATTTTGTGCAAGGAAATGTACTCCTGTAGTCTGTCCTCTTTATGCACCAGTTTCTATGAGTTTAGATTTAAATTAGGTTTTAAACAGCTGTGAAGAAGCTTTGTTTGCTCTTGTGACAAGAGTATAATCAAGCTGAATCCCTTTAGGTTGTTGGGTGTTGGTGGACCTGTGATTGATTCTCACTCGGGGAAGTAATTGGCAGAGTGACCCAATAGTATTTTTGTTCCAAAGTACAGTAAGTGATTACTATCACTAAAACATCAGTAAAAGCAATTCCATGGAACCATAAACAATCTTATTAACAACACATTTCTGTCTTCAGGTGTTGGTGGAAATCTAGTAGCTGTTCAAGCCAGTCGTCTTTCTACAGCTCTTCATAAAGTCAGTGTGCCAGGACGTTTGCCAGAGGGGTCACCCAGGGGGTGTGCAAACCCCTTCTCCGTTTTCTTTGGAAAAGGTATGCGTGGATCCTTTGTGTTAAATAACCATTTTTGGGCTTTTATTGCCCTTTTTAGTTTACCAACACAAATCCTGTTTTTGCATGTTTTTGAAATGGAACATATTTTTTTCTACTGGATGAAACCAGGTTTACTTTATGGATTATCCAGAGATTATCAAACATTACATCCCATTGTGATAACAGATAGAAACCTGATTAAAATTAGTGCCCAAAATGTATTAGCTATCAATAGGAAGATGTCTGTCCCTGCTTAAGACCATAATAGGGAGCATTCACATAAACCCATTACACTACCTTGATTTATCCAACTTTGCAGGGATTCTAGTCGAATAATCAGCTTAATTGTCTGACGCGCCTCCTCCACCAGCAATTTGGTAATTAACTGCCATGTACTCTCAGCTCTTGGAAGCTCTTTCACTCTAAGAGGAATGTTAGACAAGCTGACTACACTGATGTTACTTTAGCGAAGAACACCCACAGACGCAGAGTTAGAGCGATCCAGCTAGTATGATGGCTTTATTTGAATGCGGTCATAAACTCCAGGCTGATCAAAACTATGAGCCATTGTTTTTCATGTAGCCCCAGTAGTTTGGAGACGTAGATAATGTTACTGTTCAGTATCGAATGTTTCAATATCCTGCAGTGCTACTTATCTGTTGCAATTCAGACTTTTAAGAGAGATAAAATCCCCCTTTTTTTAGGAAGAAAAAACTTGATGTAATTTTTTTTTCTGAAGCGTCAGAAAAACATCAGTTTAAATGATTCATGCTTTGTTTAGATCTAAATGACTGTTAGAAATTGTACAAAACATTGAACCCCAGTGCAGGGACTGATCGAACAATGATTCGCAAGAAGGAGAAAATTGCTTCTTTTCTGTAAGAAAATTAGCTTCAGCATTGAAAAAGTCTCACAAAGAATACCTTTAAGATTATATGAGTGAATAAACTCTACACTCATGGAGTTTCAGAGATTACTGGCAGCTAATCTCAGTTATCAGTATTCCTCTGTTGTTTCCATTAACGGCGACAGCATATGTGGGTGGACCAATAGTAAAGGTGAACATTCAGTAAATGTGAACCAGAGGGTCGATGCCCTCGCCCAGCATCGTAGTTGATGGTGCTAAATAAAGTTCTTTTATTTCACGCAGTCAGAGGTTTAAGGGGTAATTATGACAATAATATGTGATATTAACAGGGGTTACTGGCAGACTTTATGGACATTGGCTGTAAGGTATTTCTGGCCTGTAGCCAATTATTTCAAAATTGGATTCTTCTCTGCAAAACCGTGTGGCTCACAGGCCTGAATTTTACAGATATTTTAACTTTTTTTTTTTGCTAGAAAAAAAGGAAGAAAAGATACTCAGTTTTTCACATGGACTTTGAATGTTTCTTTATTTGTTCAGTATATGGCATGATTATGGTTGTTTTCATGGTGTCATATGGTCAGGAATACTGGTGTCACCATTTGGTATTCACAGTACATGCAGCCAATTAAATTTGGAATACAACACATTTTCAGTATGTTTTATGATGACAAATATTATTCAAGTTTGCAACATGTATTTCAAGGCGTCATAATCAGTCCTTGGAAGGCACTATGTTGCTGGTACTAGGTACATGTATTTTGCTGTTATGGCTAATTCTATGGGTCTGTGTGGTGTATTGCTATGCCTCTGCCATATGTCAAACTGGGAGACAGGAAATTTTAATGGAAATCGCTGTGGCAAAAGAGGGATTGCAGGGATTGTGTACTTTCAAATAAAATTGAAGTGGTGGGAAATGAGTTTTTTTCATTTCAGATTATGAAATAAAAGCAATGTTAATCACATTTAGTGCACGATATGTGGCAACGAGTTTTGAAGCCAAAATAGAAATTTAGAAACAAAAATGCAGCCACTCCTGGAATATTCACATTTTGACTCCGACCATGATTTCAGTGTCAAATATTTCAGGTATGAGTCCAAAGACGGTTCGGGTCCTGATATTAATGGTGATTCCAGGACACCTGATCTTCATCTACACCATAGCTTTCATGAGTGCTGGCCACACATCCATTACCTGGAGATTTGCTCTGGTCTATCTCAGTGCTGCAATCATACAGGTGAGATATTGACCTAGGTCAATTGTGTAATTGTGTTAGGTGTGCAAGAAAGCCAGTCTCACGGAATGTGTCAGGTGTATTATAGTGTGTTAGGTATTGACTTAACTTACGTAATTGTATCTGCTGTGCTGCAATAATGCAGGTGAGATAGACTTTATGTGAAATGTATCAGGTATTCTGCAGTGTTAGATATTGACTATGCAGGTAAATTTTGTAAGGTGACTTCACAGATTGTGTTAGGTGTGACTACATTGTGTTGGGAGTGTGTGACAGAAGGACTTTACAGATTGTGTTAGGTGTGACTACATTGTGTTTTGAGTGTGTGACAAAAGGACTTTTCAGATTGTGTTAGGTGTGACTGCATTGTGTTGGGAGTGTGTGACAGAAGGACTTTACAGATTGTGTTAGGTGTGACTGCATTGTGTTGGGAGTGTGTGACAGAAGGACTTTACAGATTGTGTTAGGTGTGACTGCATTGTGTTGGGAGTGCATGTGATATGGACTTCATAGATTGTGTTAAGTGTGACTACATTGTGTTGGGAGTGTGTGACAAAAGGACTTTTCAGATTGTGTAAGGTGTGACTGCATTGTGTTGGGAGTGTGTGACAAAAGGACTTTACAGATTGTGTTAGGTGCGACTGCATTGTGCTAGATGAGATGGAATTGCATTTAAAATCAACAACACTTATACTATATACTATACTTTATAATAATAATCACTCATTTTCTGTTTTCCCCAGGTTGCCATTTTGTTGTACATAGCCATATGGATGGTCCATTACATGTGGAAGAATGGGGACGATCCTGATAACTTTGCCATACCGTACCTCACAGCACTGGGAGACTTGCTGGGCACAGGACTCCTGGCTGTGGCTTTCCTCATACTGTACAGTGTGGGAGACAAGGATGCCGATGTGGGAGATTAAGGATACAGGGGATTAGGGGATTAAAGATGAAGAACGAAATTATTTATTAGTGACTCTTAGGTGAACAGCAATCACTCATTAGCCTATTTTAAGATCGAGATATTTATTTATTTATTTGTATAGATTTTTCAACACGCTTTTATACAAGTGTCTATATCACATTTGGAGAGTTTTTCATTTCGAATTCCATAACGCAAAGTTTGAAATATGTGGATCATATCAGACACCTTCACATAGTCCCAAGACTGTCATCAAACAATTGAAATTAGTTCCTTTCTTTCAAGTTTTGGATAAATAATACATTACATTGGATGGTTTGTGATAAATTTATGTAATTATGTTGGTTTTTTTGGTTTTAGTTGAAATTTACAATGATTGTGAACCTACAGATATAACATACATAACATTTCACAGGATCTAAGCACTGGTTCAAGATACTCAGTTTTTGAAGATGTTTAAGACAGAAAATCCATTCTGTAGCCCACAGGCAATGGGGAATAACTACCAATATGTGTATCTTTATGAATTTTGATAAATTTATATTGGTTGCTTAGTCTGTCAGACTGATACTGTGCAGAAAAAGACAGGTGCAAGGAAGAGACTGTGATATTAAGGATAAATCATGTGTTAAAATAATGTATTAAGCAGATCTGTTGGATAATATTTATGAACTCTTTATCAGCTAACGCTTAGAATTGTCCTCTGGATTTTATGAGATCTGAAAAGGGTCAGAAAATGAATTTGCGTGGTAATCCTTTAACGTTGATGGGGGAATCAAATGCATTAATGACAGTACACTGAACTAGATTAGTCTAGTAAACTGACATATAACTTATTCAGGCAGAATCTTACTTGCAATAATAATCTTCTTGGTGGGTTGAAAAAATCAAATATTTTATCCACCTACGGGCTCGTGTACATCACCTGATTTTTACTCAGTGAAGCTTTACAGGTACAATAGAGATTTTTTTCTCAAAAAATGTGAGTTACTCTGAAGCGGAAGTTTATGTGATATCTCTTTTCTGACAGACAGAGTATGATTTAGGTTGATGCATTGATTAAATGATAGCAGTTAAAGGGGATTTGTTGGAGGTAAAACCACAGTGGCATTTCTCACCTTACACAATATAAGATATTAAAGCCAAAATGATGGGTTACCTAATACAGTTTTAATTGTGTCATAGGGAAGCCATCAATTTGACTGACTCTTAGACCCCATTTCCAGAGATTAGATCCATCTACTTTAGATCGACCTAACTCCCTGGGGGTTCACGCTAAATAGCTGTCAGCCGAACGGTCTAATGATAGCAGTTAAAGGGGATTTGTTGGAGGTAAAACCACAGTGGCATTTCTCACCTTACACAATATAAGATATTAAAGCCAAAATGATGGGTTACCTAATACAGTTTTAATTGTGTCATAGGGAAGCCATCAATTTGACTGACTCTTAGACCCCATTTCCAGAGATTAGATCCATCTACTTTAGATCGACCTAACTCCCTGGGGGTTCACGCTAAATAGCTGTCAGCCGAATGGACACGAAAGTTGATTACCCCCTTACAACTTGTAGTAGGCGGGATGGACATTTAAGCCGAATTATCTGACAGTAATCTAGTGAGACTCCCCACGGAGGTAGATCGATCTAAAAGCTCTGGGAATACAGCCTTACTTACAGCAGTAGAAGACAATCTCATAAATGATGCAATCAGAGCTGGACATTAGATTTTGTCATGTGCATTTGGTTTCAGTTTATTTAGAGGAAGGAAATGTGTGTGTGTGTGTGTGTGTGTGTGTGTGTGTGTGTGTGTGTTAGGGGTGGACAGAAGCTGTCTTCTGAGTCTTCCTAAAGACAGTCAGAAATTTTCAAGTTTATATTGACAGACATCTGATTTTTTTTCTGTCAGAAGAAGGTAAAAATGGAGGATGGAACAACAAAGATTATTTGGAAGACTGTTAGAAAATATATCTGGACCTGCCCTTGTGTGTGTGTGTGTGTGTGTGAGAGAGAGAGAGAGAGAGAGAGAGAGAGAGTGAGAGAGAGAGAGAGAGAGAGAGGAACCCCACCCTCAATCTTGAGATACAGGATCCACCAGTTTATTTTTGATGGTGCAGTGGTTGGAATTTTGACAATATTATAATACATATTCACATCATGGCTGGTGGCTAACATGGTAACAAAACAGTCATACTGAATTTGTTACATTTGGAAGGTTTTCATTGGGATTGAAAGTCACATAAATGCCATATTTTCATATTGTGCAGTGACTGAAGCATGCGAGTTTGGGGACCAAATACTATTTTCTTATTCTAAAATAAATCTAATTGACTACATGCACCAAAAGGTGATAGACTTACATAGCTGAAATACGTATTGTAAAAGTTTTTGTTCTGTATAGTTTTATTTATTTATTAGTTATTTTTTCTTATAACAGTGATCTTTTTAGGTTCCTTTTTTCTGCCTACTGCACCTTTGACACACTGATTAAAGCGACACTCCGCGAGATATTGGCACTAATTTTGCTGGCGTAAAGGTCAAATTTCTCTTATTCACGAATATTTGATCGAACTGTACCAGCGCTTTGATTCCATTTTTGATTTAATTTTTTAGTTTTAAATGGCTAGCCATAGAACAACATAGCCTTCCTGACCTTTACCTTCATGGCCTCGTTTCACACAAGAAAATGGCGCGGCATTTTGTACATGTATCACGGCCCTATGCCATGTAGAATAAAGCCGTTGCAAGCTGCCATGGAGGCTGGAGGTATATTTCAGATAAACTTTTATTTGAGACTTTGTCGTCTTTGAGGTCTGAATTGGGAAATATGTAAACTTTGCAATTATAAATATGACTGGGAATTTTCCAACACGTGGAGAGTCGCTTTAATTCTGAGAATGAAAAGGTTACACATGGCAGGAATTGTGGGCCTAATTAAGTTTCCACTTTCATGATTAGAATTAATCTTTTAAGTTAAAATGGTTTAGAATGTAGCCTTATTATATATCGTGTTGCGAATAAATGTATTTATAGGCCACACTTCAACGGGCAGTTAACATTGGCAACATATTTTGGTTACTTAGATTAGATAATAAAAATAGTAGAATTAAGTACAGTTATTTTATTCTGACATAAAGAAGTAGAACCTCAAGCTTTTTCCCCCTGCGGTTGTCAGGGATCGTATTGTAATGAAACAAATNAGTATGTGGAGAATTATCATTTAAGCAAGCTTGAAGTAAGGTTGATCTGAGTCTCATCTTTATCCATTTGTTTTTGATCTTTTGAAATAAGGAATGTGTTTTTTAAATGAAAAACTCTCATGTCTGTGGGGTCATTGTCAGATTGGTAGAAAGCTGTAATTTCTATTATAAAGCAGTCTGTATATAAATACAAAGGGTTTCATTTTTAATCAAATATAAAAATGTTTAATATAATTATGTACCTCTATAATATTGAATGGAAGGACCTGGCTTGCATTATGGGAAATTTACCAACTTTTTTGTAGAAAAATAAAGCAAAGTTCTATTGGCTATTTATTAATATCAAAGATTTAATTTGTTCAGTCTTCTTTATAGTTCATATCAAAATCAATTTAAAGAAGACATGCATTAATTGATTTGGAAAATTCGCTGGGAAGGGCTGATGTCTATCCATATTTGGTAATTTTGTGCAAGGAAATGTACTCCTGTAGTCTGTCCTCTTCATGCACCAGTTTCTATGAGTTTAGATTTAAATTAGGTTTTAAACAGCTGTGAAGAAGCTTTGTTTGCTCTTGTGACAAGAGCATAATCAAGCTGAATCCCTTTAGGTTGTTGGGTGTTGGTGGACCTGTGATTGACTCTCACTTGGGGAAGTAATTGGCAGAGTGACCCAATAGTATTTTTGTTCCAAAGTACAGTAAGTGATTACTATCACTAAAACATCAGTAAAAGCAATTCCATGGAACCATAAACAATCTCATTAACAACACATTTCTGTCTTCAGGTGTTGGTGGAAATCTAGTAGCTGTCCAAGCCAGTCGTCTTTCTACAGCTCTTCATAAAGTCAGCGTGCCAGGACGTTTGCCAGAGGGGGCACCCAGGGGGTGTGCAAACCCCTTCTCCGTTTTCTTTGGAAAAGGTATGCGTGGATCCTTTGTGTTAATTCCAATAACCATTTTTGGGCTTTTATTGCCCTTTTTAGTTTACCAACACAAATCCTGTTTTTGCATGTTTTTGAAATGGAACATTTTTTTCTACTGGATGAAACCAGGTTTACTTTATGGATTATCCAGAGATTATCAAACATTACATCCCATTGTGATAACAGATAGAAACCTGATTAAAATTAGTGCCCAAAATGTATTAGCTATCAATAGGAAGATGTTTGTCCCTGCTTAAGACCATAATAGGGAGCATTCACATAAACCCATTACACTACCTTGATTTATCCAACTTTGCAGGGATTCTAGTCGAATAATCAGCTTAATTGTCTGACGCGCCTCCTCCACCAGTAATTTGGTAATTAACTGCCATGTACACTCAGCTCTTGGAAGCTCTTTCACTCTAAGAGGAATGTTAGACAAGCTGACTTCACTGATCGTACTTTAGCGAAGAACACCAGCAGAGTTGGATCGATCCAGCTAGTATGATGGGTTTATTTGAATGCGGTCATAAACTCCTGGCTAATCAAAACTATGAGCCATTGTTTTTCATGTAGCCCCAGTAGTTTGGAGACGTAGATAATGTTACTGTTCAGTATCTTCATGTTTCAATATCCTGCAGTGCTACTTATCTGTCGCAATTCAGACTTCTAAGAGAGATAAAATCCCCCTTCTTTTTTTTAGGAAGAAAAAACCTGATGTAATTTTTTTTCTTCTGAAGTGTCAGGAAAACATCAGTCTAAATGAATCATGCTTTGTTTAGATCTAAGTGACTTTATTAGAAATTGTACAGAACATTGAACCCCAGTGCAGGGACTGATCGAACTATGATTCGCAAGAAGGAGAAAATTGCTTCTTTTCTGTAAGAAAATTAGCTTCAGCATTGAAAAAAAGTCTCACAAAGAATACCCTTAAGCTTTTATGAGTGAATAAACTCTACTCTCATGGAGTTTCAGAGATTACTGGCAGCTAATCTCAGTTATCAGTATTCCTCTCTTGTTTCCATTAACGCAGCATATGTGGGTGGACCAATAGTAAAGGTGAACATACAGTAAATGTGAACCAGAGGGTCGATGCCCTCGCCCAGCATTGTAGTTGATGGTGCTAAATAACAAAGTTCTTTTATTATTCCACGCAGTCAGAGGTTTAAGGGGTAATTATGACAATAATATGTGATATTAACATTCAAGGGGTCTCTGGCAGACTTAATGGATGTAGGCTGCAAGGTATTTCTGGCCTGTAACCAATTATTTCAAAATTGGATTTTTCTCTACAAAACCCTGTGGCTTACAGGCCCGAATTTTGCAGATATTTTAACTTTTTTGCCAGAAAACAAGAAAGAAAAGATCCTCAATTTTTCAATTTTGAATGTTTCTTTATTTGTTAGATGTATATAGCGTGGTTATGGCTGTTTTCATGGTGTCATATGGTCGGGAATACTGGTGTCACCATTTGGTATTCATAGTACATGCAATCAATTAGATTTGGAATACATCACATTTTCAGTATGTTTTATGATTAAAAATGTGTTTCAGGTTTTCAAAATCTGTACTTCATGGCATCATAATCAGTCTTTGTAAGACACAGTGTTACTGGTATGTTTTATGGTGTCAGAATATGTTATTCATGGAACAGCTATACTGCTAAGAGATACCACAATCTCAAGATGTGAGAAGGCCTCAAATCTGATGGGCTCACTGTCTACACTGTCTACACAAGTACATATGTTTTCCTGTTATGGCTAATTCTGTGGGTCTGTGTTATGCACTGCTATGTCTCTGCCATATGTCAAACTGGGAGACAGAAAATTTTAATGGAAATCGCTGTGGCAAAAGAGGGATTGCTGGGATTGTGTACTTTCAAATAAAATTGAAGTGGTGGGAAATGAGTTTTTTTTTCAGATTCTGAAATAAAAGCAGTGCTAATCACAGTTAGTGCAGGATATGTGGCAACAGGTTTTAAGGCCAAAAAAGAAATTTAGAAACAAAAATGCAGCCACTCCTGGAATATTCCTATTTTAACTCCAACCAATGATTTCAGAGCTATTTATTTCAGGTATGAGTCCAAAGACAGTCCGGGTCCTGATATTAATGGTGATTCCAGGACACCTGATCTTCATATACACCATAGCTTTCATGAGTGCTGGCCACACATCCATTACCTGGAGATTTGCTCTGGTCTATCTCAGTGCTGCAATCATACAGGTGAGATATTGACCTAGGTAAATTGTGTAATTGTGTTAGGTGTGCAGGAAAGCCAGTCTCATGGAATGTGTCAGGTGTTTTATAGTGTGTTAGGTATTGACTTAACTTAATTGTATCTGCTGTGCTGCAATAATGCAGGTGAGGTAGACTTTATGTGAAATGTATCAGGTATTCTGCAG